CCGAAATGGCATTCATCAGTGTGTGTGAAAAACTCCAGACACCAAGCTATTCCCATCACCATAAATAGACGAATAAAGAGTTTGTACCTGCAGGAAAGAAGTTCAAATTAGTGTTGCTCATAACCAGAAGAGAAAGAGAATGTGTTTATCACCAAGAAATAATGTTGTAGACTGATACCTAGTCAAATTAACTTAATTATTTACACACTATCAAGGTACCTTTACACACACATGTACCTTGTTGACCAAGAAGAGGGTAAACAACAACCGCTGTATTGGATAAAGACTGCTGAAAGAGATATACATCTATTCAGTTGGGAGGTGTCTGCTAAGGTTATATGTATAATTGACTGTGATCAGGTACTGTCCTTAAGATTTACTCGTCTTCCTTAGCTTGTGGTAAAAGAATTGGTCGCTTGAAATTTTAGGGTATATAATTTGTATGTAGAGAAGGTGAAAATCGATAGTATTAATTGTTTACAGTTATTACAGTTACAGCCTTGCCTCACCCCTGAATTAACTGGGAAATTGAACAGGCCCCCACCACATTTTACAACCCTTTCAGTATCGGTATATAGGCTTGCTATAGGCCAATAATCCGTGTTGGAATTCCCCTAAGTCTCAGAATCTCCCATAGCAATTCTCAATGCACTAAATCAAACGCCTTCTTGAGGTTGATGTAGGCTGCAAGCAACTCACGGTCAAACTCACATCGTCGTTCCATAATTACTGGAAGCACTAAGATGTAGGCTATTCCAGACTGCTCCGGTCTCTGCTGCCTTAGTAGATGGTCGTGGATCCATTTCAGAAGAATGTGGGCGAAAACCTTGCCCGGTATACTGAGCAGTGTAATACCATGGTAGTTACTACAGTCCCAACGATCTCCTTTCCCCTTCTAGAGAGGGATGACCATGCCCCTCATCAGGTCAAGGGAGAGAGCACCCCTCCCCCCATTTTATCCATTTATTTCTGTACCTGCCAGTGAGTTATCTGGGGGAGGAAGGCTGACAAGGCCCAACTCCCCCGAGCCACCTATTAACCCCAGGGTGGCTGAGGGGCAATTGGTACGGAGCCAGGGTGTGTCCACACACCAGTGGGCCATGGCTCCATACCTCTGGGGGCTCCTGCTGCTCCAAGGTCTCCCACAGTTTAGCCTGGGACCGCATGGTGCCCAGTTTCTATGGGTGGCCACGAGGAGGCACTGCAGAAGTCTCGATGATGGAGAGGCTGTGGACTGGCAGGGGAGGCTTATGCAGAGTTGCTCCCTTTTTCGCACTAGGCTAGCCAGCGGTGGCAGTTGCACGAAAAGTACACTACTTACCTGTCTTTAAGCCTTCTCGTTGTCTGCAGGCCTTGGTCTATATCTTGAAACTGCTTCACCAAAATGATCGTCAGATGGACGAAGAAATACAGGTTCACCAGCAGCATCAGTAGCATAGGTCCGTTCCTATAGAACCACACGGTGGTTTGATCTGTAATCCGGTTTCGGGAAATTATGTTTATATATATATATGTATGTATATATATATATAGATAGATAAGCACACACACACACATGCACACACACACACAATATATATATATATATTTATGGATATATAGATAGATAAATGGGTAGATGTGTGCATGTTTATATATATACATATATGTATATATATATATTAATCAATCATTTGGAGCTAACGCCGGCAGGGGCGCATAGCTGCATCCACCCTTCGCTTCCACCTGCCAGGGTCTGCCATGGCGAGCCGCCAGGCAAGGGCCGCCCGGCCCATTTCTAGTTCCTCACAACGGGTTTGGTCGATCTGCCCAAGCCACGACCTTCTTGGTTGTCACACAGTCATCCTCCACCCGGGATTGTCTCGGACAGAGACAACTTGGTGGGCAGGGTCATCCTGCGGGAGTCGAGCCGGTCTCACGGTGCAACCGTTGGTTGGACACATGGTCCCGCCAACTGTACCCCATGATCTGACGCAAGGATCTGTTACAAAAGAATCAAGATGAGATTCCAAGGCACAAGATAGCGTCCAAGTTTCACTACCATATAGTAAAACTGGCAGTATCAGGGCCTTGAAAACACGTAGCTTGGTCCTTTTGCACAGGTACCGGCATCTCCCAATACTCAACAACAATTCAGCTGGGATGCCACAAACACCTGCTGTTCCACTCTTCAGCTTGGAGATCGCCCCCCTGACTTCAGTCAGGGAGGGTGAATCCTCGCTGGTGGGTGGGTCAGGTAGAGGAATATTGACATTCCCTGTGTCCATGTTAACTGTTGGTGGATCAACCTGATACAACTGCTCAAAATACTCAGCCCAACACACACGCACCCCATCAGGATCTGATATTATCTGGCCATTTGCTGAGCGGACTGCAGTCATCTGTGAGGAGGGCTTGGAGTTCTGTTTTCTCAGGGCTTGGTAGGCAGGGCGAAGGTCATTTACTAAGAAATGGCTTTTGACTTCCTCTGCAAGATTCCTGATAAACTGTTCCTTATCCCTTCTCAACAGTGTCCTAGTCCTACGTGCCAGAGAACGATGCATGTTACGATCCCCTGACAATTGAGCCGCACAAGCATTTGTGGCTTCCAGTGTCTCCTGCGAGATGGAATTCTGTCTTGCTCTTGGGCGTTCACCAATCGATTCATGGGCTGCGTCAAGCGTTTCACACTTGAAGGTGTCCCACAGAAGAACAGGGTCTGTCAGGCCCTCAAGTACTGTGAAACGACCAGAGATAGCCTAGGCGAACCCCGGGGCACACTCATCCTCCCTCAATCTGTCCAAGTGAAACACCCTAGGGTGTTCACTTGGGCGACGAGGCATTCTAAAGTGGACCCAGAGAGTAGCCACAACTAATCTATGATCGGTTCCACAGAACTCGGCACTTCGACCCTGCAGTTCTGGAGGATCCTCCATATGGTCGATCTCCTTAGCCACACTACCCGCATCGCTGTACCATATGTCCAACGATGTGAGTCAGAGCGCTGATACCAGGAGCCAGAAATCCTCAATTTCTGGGACCTAGCAAAGTCATGGAAAAGGAGGCTATATATATATACATATATACATATATGTGTGTGTGTATGTATCTTTCTCTCTCTCTATATATATATCACACACACACACATATATATATATATATATATATATATATATATATTTGTGCACACACACACACACACCCACACAAATACCTACAAATAACAGTAAATAACAATCTAGAGAATTGAAATGTCAACAGTCGACTTGCATTAAATGTCATTGAATAGACTTATAGCTACAGAGGCGATGTGAATTATCAGTTACAATTCTGAATAAAACTTAAGGAGTCCTAGTATCGCCCCAATATACAAATTTAAGTCAGACAGGAGAAAAAAAATAATGGAATTAAAAAAACGATCAAGCTACCTTAAGCGTGACTGAAGCAGATAACCACACAGGAGAACTATACTCAGAGTGAGGCAGAATAAAAGAAAAGAAGCATCTACAAGTAATACCTACGAGTAATCTTGCACTTTCAAATGGTGTCAAACTTAGATGGGAATGCCCGGGTCGTATTCCTAATCTGCAATTCAGATGTAAGCTTTGTATCAGGACTGAATTAAGACTCATTTCCTTGGACTTGGTATGATTTAATTTCATACCCCACCGAGAGCAGCCTCTATTTGCATGGTTGTCGGAGAAGGAATATCAGCATCATCGGCATATGTCAACATTTTATTAGTTATGCCGGCCCACATATTGCTGGTATATAAAATAAAGAGTAAAGACATACGAGCAAAAACTACTAGGAATTCAGCTAAAATACTATACCACCAGCGCCAACAAACTTAAAAATCAAACTCTACACACACACACACAAACACGTGTATATATATACACATACATATATTTGCATTTGTATATACATATAATCCAACCACGAGGATCGGAGGCCTGTGCTTTAACCTCAATACCATCGTGGCAATCACAGATTTATATGTCTATATTTATCTAACTAACTTAATAAACTGTGTGTATATGTATATATCACCATCATTGGGAGGTAACGCCGGCGGAGGCGCATAGCCGCATCCACCCTTTGCTTCCACCTATGAAGGTCCCTCATGGTGAGCCGCCAGGCAGGGGCCCTAGCTCCTCACGACAGGTTTGAGTGGCCAGGCCAGGCCACTCTGACTTCCTGGTCTGACAGCCCAGAGACATGAACTTCACTACCGAGGTATACAAAGCTCTCTGTAATCTCGATGTTTTCAACGCAAGCACGTGCCAACTGTACAGTTGCCCCCAGGAGACCTCTACCCGCAGGGTATTCATTTCATTGCTAAATGAATTAAGAGCCACCACTAGGGTTTCTGGAGATTCAGATAGAATAGCAACATCATCAGAAAAATGTAACCTTGATATTGCCCAGAGTTGCTCTGCGGTGACTTTGGATAGTAACTCTACCCAGTATCCAGTCCATGCAAGTGCTGAAAAGTGTAGGTGCAAGAACACACCCTTGCCTCACACCTGAACTAACAGGGAAGAAGCTCGCCAGGCCCCTTACACACTTTACAACACTTACAATGCCTGTATATAGGTTTACTATTAATCCAATAATCCTTGTTGAAATTCCTTAGTCTCAGGATTTCCAGAGAGAGATGACCACACTCCTCAGCAGGTCAGGGGGAATGGTACCAGTCTGCCAGATGGTAGACAGGGCAGCATGCAAGCCCCTTGCCATAGGTTCTCCACCAGCCTTTAACAGTCCAGCTGGGATCCCACAAACGCCTGCTGCTTTATCACTCTCCAATTTGGAAATCGCCCCCCTGACTTCAGTCAGGGAGGGTGGATCCTTGCTGATGGGTGGATCTGACCTCCTCTGCAAGATCCCTGATAAGCTGTTCCTTATCCATTCTCAGCAGTGACCTAGTCCTGCACACCAGGGAACAGTGCAAGTTGCAATCCACTGACAATCGAACCGCACGACAAGCATCTGTGGCTTCCAGTATCTCCTGCAAG